TTATTGAATTTCTCACCTGCCCATCTCCCCCCAATGGGGGAACTCTGGGCGTCTCACAGCAAACATTAAAAACATAAATATATATAAATACATAAAACATCAGTTAAAAGCATTACTAACCCAGTTAACCAGTTAGACGGTCCTGAAACATTGAACTCAGTAGGAACTGCTTCCGGTCAGTAATGTTGAATAACAACATATTTAACCCAGTTACTGACATAGCTCCTTTTCTGGCTTTGCACAATACATTAAACCATGAACTACCCAAGCCTGCTAGATGTCCCACAATCCCCCTAGCCACAGAAACAAACCAAAGCTAAAACGAGCAAATTTAGCCGATTGTGGAAATGCAGCGGCCGGTTCTGCCATTAACTGGGTTAAGCATGTTATGTGGACACGGCCACATAGGTGAGCAATGGCCATGTTCACGTAAGAACATGTTCTGTCTGGAATGAGTCTGTTTATCACATCTTCCCATGCCAGAGGCGGGCCTGGTTCACACAGCCCACTAAACCTTAATGTAGCCTGGTTGGCTTCAGCTCAGGGGGCTGTGTGCATCAAGCCATCGTAGCTTGTAGACCATCTTTGTGGCTTAGCTCTTTGGCTTGTTGTGAAAACTCAACCAACTATGCTTTGTTCACAAAGCCACAATTAGCCAAACCATGGCTTACACATGTGAACCCCACCATAGAATAGACTTCTGAGGAACGACGCATACACTCAGCCTACAAGCCTTAATGAACATTGCTTCCAAGCGGTTTCACCCTCAACTGAACCAAACAAACCACAATGGGGACATAGCATGTTCAGCCCAAACCAGTCAGCCAGAGGATAGCCGAATACAATAGCCCAGTTCACATCACGTAAAATTTTATTTCTTTATTCAACTGATTGACAGGGCCACCCATCTCGCAAACGTGACTTTTGGCAGCTAACCACACATTGAAACAATAAAAACAACATTAGCAAAATAAGAAACCAGCCATGAAATTAAAAAGCCAACAGAAATTATGGCTGGTGTCCTGCATCCCAAGGAACCCCAAAATCACCCACCCCATTTTATCCAGAGTTTGCACATGGTGTGAACACAACCAGAGGGTCATACCCCTCTTCTTGGAAATGGGCCTGTGCTCTTAAATGGGTGCACCCTTGCAGCTGCACCCATTTCCCTTCGGTTATAAAGCTTCCAGGGAGAAAACCACAGATGGTGGAATGGTGGAAAGAGGGTTCTTGCATCCAGGAAAAGAAAAGAAAAGAAAAGAAAAGAAAAGAAAAGAAAAGAAAAGAAAAGAAAAGAAAAGGTGGCTTGTTTTCTCACAATGGTATGTAACTTTTGAAGACATCCTAGCACCTTTAAAATGATGTTTTAAAGATGTCATGGAAGCCTCTTTCCCCAATGTCATGTTGAAAAGCTGGGGAAAAGAGGCTTCCTTTGGGGATTGGTGTCAATCTCAGATGACTAGTCAGTGATGAAAAAACTTTTTAACCTTAG